ACACTTTGAGGGATTAGAAACGAATGATAAGCAGGTTAAATTTAGACTTTGGCTTTTTGTTTTCATTCCTGTCAGCTCCAGTTCATAATGTGTTAAAGGGCAGAGTTTGTGTCCTGGCGTTCTCACTGGAGTCTTCCATTCCAGGTCCCTCACCAGCAGAATACTGTAGTAACCCCCAAATGTCTGGTGAGACGATGCTGAGCATTCAAACAGACTGCCTTTCTTCTACGGTAGGAGAAAGTCTGAAACGAACTACTATATATTGCAGATTGACTTTCTGTTGTTGTTTTTTAATTTAGGAGGTAGGCTCAACATTACAGAAAGACACTTGTGCTAGTGTTACTGTAATAAGTTTGAGGCTGAATACAAAAAGCTCTCTACGTGATTGTGTACCAGTAGCATCCCTTTTAGTTTTAGCTCTTGGTCCAGAAGAGAGCAAGAACTTATTCATTACATCTTATTCTAAGACTTTTTAATTACATGAACAAAAAGCTTTACTCTTGAAAAATAAAGCTTAATCATGTAATTAGTTGTCTTTTTTCCAACATTGTTCTAAAGCTTGAATATTGTAATTTAAAAAATAAATACTGGTTAAAAGGAGGATAACAGAAGATGGCATCTTGCCCCTACCTAACTCTAAAGTTATTTTTATAAAGTTATTGTTCCCATAAGGTGGTGCCCTAGAAAAACAAGGCTATATTTTTACTATGATAAAAAGTGTGTCCAAATAACTATAAACAAACATGATGACACTGATAATAATGTACTTGGAAATTAACTGTTAAACACATGCCTGTATTTAACTATCCAACAAAATATGTCCTAAAACCAGTTTGCTCTGTCGTAATGACAAATGATGTCAACGACCAAATACCACTGATCTCATACTAGTAAAGGGAATGATAATTTTGTCTTGAATTGTATGTGTAGTGTCGTAGTTTATTTAAATATTACATAGCTGCTGTCTACCCCATAAAATTCAAATAACTTTTGAGCTTTTTTCCTCCCTCTGCTTTTTCCTAGAAGTCAATATAAGACACCGTCTGTTCAGAATAGGTCAGATCTAATTCTTGATCACTTCAGAAAGGCTACTGTAAACAGCTGAGATTTTTCTGTAATACTATTTTTAGATAAGTCTTTCATATTAAGCTATCTTTAGATACTATTTCATGGGTGGCAGGGCACTGCTACTTGCTCTAAAGATGGGTTTCAGCATCGTGACCATGTGTAACAAACTCTGTCCTATCTGCTGCAGATGCCCCCACCAATATTGGTCAGTCTGGAACTTTTGACACTCACCACAGCCCTTTTGATCTCTGCAGTTACCTAGTCCTCCCTTCAAGAGGCTTGCCTTTCCATATGTCACAAGACAGAACACAGATAGGAGAGATTGATGGAAGTGTGAGTGGAATCCTGGCTCTTCCACCCTCTCCCAGTCACTAACCTCTGAACCTCAGTTTTCCATCATCAAACACTTAATAATGACAGTACCTATGTCCTCTGCTGCTGTGAAGATTAAATGAGATAATAAATATCGAATGTTGGTAACAGTGCCTACACACAGAAAACCCTCAACGAATGCTGGCTGTTACTATTACTGTTTAAGCTGCAGAAACATGGGACATACAAATGTGGAAAATCAGATCTGAAACTAACGGCAAGATTAAAGACAAACAATTGCTGTTTTAAAATCTGAATTAGACAGTCTGTATTCTAAAACACATACACACACAAAATCTGTACCAATTAAATACAATAAAGTTGAAAGGGGATATAAATTACAGTTTTTCTTTTTTAAAAACAGATAATAGTAAAATACTACAGTCAGCTCACTATACACAAAAATCATGAACAGCAGCTTTTCATTAAAATCTCCAATATCTTATTCATTTACTGATGCTAAGAACTTAAAGAAAAAAGGTACAGCAGGCTGTACACATTCTCTCGCTCTCACAACACATTTATTGCTGTACATCTAGACCAATTGTACAGGCATCTACAGAACAGGTACATAAAGTACCTTTGTAAAAATTTCTGCACACATAATCCTTCAACATCTCCATCGATAGGAGAATTTTACAAATGAAGACATGGACAGCAGGGTCATCTGTATTTAATCATCTCCTGCAAACATAGTGAAGTGTGTACTTGTGAACTTTATAGCTCAATGCATCTCGTCAGCATTTCCCAGAAATTAAGTAAAACAGCAACAGCAAAATCACACCACAATGAAGCCCACCAATCCAAAAACAAAACCACACACACAAAAAAACAAAAATCAACACCCTTTCCCACCCCAATCAAACTCTTGATATTCCTTCTGTTTTTACAGTAATACTGCTTTCCACACTCTACCTGCCTTGCTGGGCTGAACCAAGGTATGAGAACAGCTGGAGGCAGGGCCCTCATAATTGTCAACTGTTATAATACAATGTCAAGTCAGCAAGTGGCGGGCTAGGTGGAAGACCAAAGAATATAGCTGTGAAATTTTTCAGTGTGCTTATGAAACAGAGGACAGAACGGCAGCATGTGGCCTGGTAGCCAAGGGGAGTATGGCACCACACTTGCAGTCAAATTGTATGTACACATAAAACAAGAGTGGACAGCAAAATTCAGTCATGTGTAAGTTCTTTGGTTATAAAGAACGGCATTCTGTAACTTTTTCTGCAGAGGGATTTGTGACCTCATTCTTAGGCAATCAAGTCTTTTTCATCTGCTCGTGTATATGGGATTGCCCAAGTTGCTTTGTAACAAAGTCCAGTACCTTATGATTTTCTATAAACCACTTTTATCTGCATTTTAGTGTTCAGTCTGTCTGTCTCTGAACAGACATACTATAGATACACATTTCATATACATAATATATATTATTTATAAAAAAAAAAACTAAGAGTATTGACTCCAGATTCTACAGTAAGAACTGATTAAAACTGTACAAGAATGAGTTTGTTTGAATCTGTGGAGGTTTCTACACAGTGGGGTGTGTAGTAAGTGCAAACAAAAATACTGCCACTTAATTAATCCAGGGTTTTCGGTTCTCTGGCTTTCTGAAAAAAGCAGAAGCTGTCGATTCACCCAGGCGACAAAGCACCGCTGATTCTTCCCTCTCAGGAGGGAATAGAAGGTGGCCTAGGAAGCACATGGCTTCTCCATGCTGGTCTGAGGTCCTGCTGGGCCGCAGCATGTTTTAAAGATGAGGCTGGTGCTTTTTCAAGAGGACCTGGGACAAAGACGCTGAGGCCTGTGGAGGAAGTGCTCGCTGCCTTTCACCGAGGGGTCGAGGTCCTGTTCCCCTGGAATGCAGAGGATGGTGAGTTCGAGCTCTTGTCCCCATCTCCCTTCCCCGCCCACAGGGGCTCTTCCTAAAGAGACCCACAGGATCCAGTTTATTATGGAATTCAGTTCTAGAATTTACACTATACGAGGGAGAAACCTAGCTCCAAGGTAAAGCTTATAGGAAAAGTAATGGACGGCAAAGCCCAGAGTTAAAGTAGAAAACTGTTACTTCTGGGTTTATATGCTGTGGTATCGGGGTAAGAACAAAAGTCAAATTTAAGTACTTAAAAAGTTTTCAAACTGTAACAGTGTCAGAACAACTTATTAAAACCAAAATAAAAATACTAAAGACATTTAAAAAGGAAAAAATCACCATAATCTCATATTACCATAATACAACAAATATTTTTGTGAATTCCTTTTAAACCAAGATCTTTGGCAGGGACACAGCATTCTGGAGACTTTCAAAAAGTAAAATCCAAGCATTCTTTCTGTTTGTTGGGTTCTAAATAACCTAGGCAATGAAATGAGGGGGGCTGTTGCCCCTCTTCCCTCTTCTATGGGCTGTGAGCCTCACAGTGCAGGCCTGAGACACCCTGCCTCATATTACTTCAGTGGAGGGGTTTGTGAAAAACTTATCCCCCCGATCCACCCCAAGTGAAGCAAAATCTCAAGTGTGGAGAGTAGTGACTCCTGGGACTCTGAATTTTTAAGAGGCACCCTCTCCCGACCCCCCAGGGAGTTGATTACACATTTAGATTGAGAAGCACAGTTACAGGATGAACTTCCACAGTAAAACAGAGAGACTGAATGGCACCAGGATTACTTTATCCTTCACCAAGCAATTATCTTATCCTTCACCAAACCACTTTCTCGTTTGGTCAGCTCTGTTTTGCTAAAGCGCTGGCACTCCTAAACCCCTCACACAGCTGTGCTTGGGGCGTGAGACCAAAACAGTGATCCTTAATGGGAAGAAACGCTGGCACTCAGGAGCAGAGCACTCAGAAGAGGATACTCTTTTATTTATATAATTCACTATTTTCCTTAAGAATATTAGCAAAAATCCATTCTGTTCTAATATGAAAATTAAACATCATAATAAACCAGCCGGGGTAACTTCAAAAGCCCAAATGTCACCTATACTTCCCCAAAGCACCTTTTATTCTATGGGCACCTAATGACTGTATTTTATCAATTCTATGATACATGTTATTTTACCCCACATTTTAACATCTCTGAAATTGAGTTGTGTCTTACAATTGCTGATATGATATAGTTTAATTGGAAGTATTTTTTCTTAATGATACATAGAATAATGGTGTATGTGATAAGCAAAGAAATCAATGATTTAATGAAATATGGTAGATGCTACCAGAATACCTTGGGATAGCCATCTCAGGGAATGATTATGAGACTGACTGATCCTTACCCACGTGAATGTTTAATTCAACACAACCCATATTCCAGTTCAAAAAGCCACTGCTCCTATATATTTCACAGTTCAACTCTGAAACTATGCAAGCAGACTTGCAGACTTGTTCCCCCAGAGCCTGCCAGCCGGGCAGCATGTGAGCTTGCTCCCCAGGTGGGCCCATCTTCTCTGTCAGAAACATCTGAATGAATCTCTTCTACTAAACCACTGACTTAAAGGGCTTCTGGAGGTTGGTACACAATTAGGCGAGTTCACTGACAGCACAGAACCCAAAGGAATGCCTCTGGAATTTATTACCTGGTCATTCTCTGCTGAGGAATGTATCTGGCCAGGTTCCTGTGGCCCATCTGAGACACTCTTACTGTCCATTTTATTTGGTAGGTTCTTCCTACTCGAAATCTCTTCAGCAGAAGAATCTGTCAAACCATCAAAATCTTTCCCATCTGACACACCCATAAACTCTGTGAAAGAATGATCCTCAAGGACATTTGTGGTGTGCTCTATGGTCACCTCCCTAGGGCAGAATTCTCTTGCTGGTTGGCCATTTTTACTGGAGCAGTTATCTTGTTCTGAACATGAGCCAGTCCTACAGAATAGTTTGGAGTTTTTCCCAGGAATACTTTGGGATGATGGGTTCCCTTTGGCTAAGGCACTGTTTTCCTTGAGTGGCACCATAATCATCTTATCCTTTACCAAGCCTCTTTCTAGTTCTGTCAACTCTTTGTTTGAGGATGGTCTGAAATCATGCGCAAGTGATGGTCCAGAATGCTCACTGGGGTCTGCATCTTTCATCTGAATGACTAGCTGATCTGAGCTGTCACTAGAGGGGACTGTCATGTCAGACAGAGTGGCATTGGAGGCACTGTGGGAAAAGTAGCCACTGGTAATACTGCTGGTGGTAGGGCTACGGGACACTTCTTTCTCCAAGACCCTTGAGTTTGTCAAATCTACTTTAGATGAAAACCACTCTCTGTTCTCCAAGCTGGCATTGTAAACACTGAAGTCAGCAAACTCCACAGGTACATAAGGCTGTGAACCTATCAGTTTTCTGTTAAGAGTTTCCAGATCACTTTCTTCCTCTTCAGAGTCCTATAGAAATGAAGCAAAAGTCAGCCATTAGCTCTTTACAGCAACTGTATTGTTGAGACATGTTTTAAATGCTTTTCTATTAAAGGCGTTCATGTGTTTGTTTGTTTTTTTTTTTCTTTTCTCCTGAGTTTGGTTAAATCTTGTCACCCATTATGGGCACAAGTACATTATTCTCAAGTATCTGTGAACAAAAACCCATTATCACCTAATATGAAGGAGATTTATTTCTTCTGTGCTCACTCAATGCTAATTAGAAACCTTTCCTCTCCTGATTTAAGAGAAAGGATGGAACAAAGTGCAGTGGACTTAATTAGCTACTCATGATTGGTTTTCAGTTGTGATGCTGTCCTTTCTCTAATTAAATGAGTAGACAGCCAGAAGCAGAGAGGAACTGCTGCTTCACTTGTTCTTACAATCCTCACCTTGGGGAGCAAAGTGCAGATAAATAAGGTGATTTGTGAAAAATCTCTGAGCTATTTTATAGGAGAGAGGGCAGTAAAATAAGGCCCCAACAGCAAAACACCTAAGAACACAATTTCAACACCCATTCTGCAGTATTATACTAAATATTTGGAAGGCTGTAAAATACTAACAGACTGACAATTACCGTTGAGGGGTTTTGAGAAGCTTAGATGGAGGATTTGGTTAGAAGGTGAGGAAGATAAGATTTAAATGTAAATTTCCTTTGTCAAATAGCTTTAGAATTCTTTTTATAAAGATTGGTAAATATACAAAAGTGGGTGTTATTAACTCCCAATCTCTCTCCCCAATGAATGATTCTTTGATATTTTTGTGGAAAACAGTGTAAAACATGAGTATTTTACTTCCAAATAAAAATAAATGGTATTACTATCTAGTCATTTCTAATTAACCTAACAAACATCTGATGACACTGCAAATATTCCTTTTCTCTTTTAAAATGTGACTTTCACTCAACAAATAATCATCAAGCACCCACCACATGCCAGCCATTGTCCTAAGAACTGGGAACACTGACGGTGGGCATAAACAGGCATGGTCCCTGCCCTCAGGGAGTTATGACTTTAGGTCCTTGTTCTTAGGACAATCCTGGACACAGCATGGGTGGAAATTACATTCAGCATAACAACGAGGTAGCTGTAAAGACCTGGAACCAAAACATCGACCTTACTCATCAGAGAGAAGAAGGAGGGGGAAGGTTGGAAAGAGAGCGGATGGGGAGGGAGACCATGCCCCACAAATACAGCAGATGGTAGTTCACAAATGAATGTAAATTTCATCTACTTACTTTTACAGTAATATTTTCTTCTGCATCTCATAAGATGCTAAATATATAAAAACAGCTCAATACTCTTCAATCCTTCTTAGTTTAAAAAATAACTTTAATATAAATTATTTAAAAGTATTAGTAGTCTTAATTCCTTGGCTATTAATGAAAGGTGAATATCGATTATCAGTGATAAAGTTCCATAAATCAGCAAAATAAAATTTTTTGCAACACTAATCTCTTGCCGGAGGAATGTATGCAAAGGAGCAAATATTGGACAGAATTATCTGAATCAGCAGCCTCTATCTATATATTCTATATTCTCTGCTTGACTTGTTTATACACAAAATTGAATTTCAAGTGTCTGTATATCTTATATTTCCTTTTGGTTTAACCTACCAAAGAAACATAATTCCCCAAGCCCAAGAGTCTCTGATGCAATGAAATACTAAAAAGTTCGTTTGTACAAGGAAAACCAAATTTGAAGATGAGAATTAGTACTTTGGGGCCCTTTATATGCCTGAAGTTATTTCTTCTAAAGACTGAGGAAAAGCCTGTCATTCAAAATATAACGGTGCTGAATCAAATATTCAATTATGAGTATAATATGTAGAAACAGATATACATTTATCAAACTCACAAAGACAAAAAATTATTCCTAAATGATCAGAATTACCTTCGTAACTCTGAAGAGTCTACAAAACCCTCTTGACATGAAGATCAAATAGAGATCAGTACATGGTTATGCATTTGGAGCAGGGGTGAGCATGGGAGAGTGACCCAAAGAGAAGGGCAAAAACAGCAGGAGTAACTACTTTCTGAAAAAAGAGTATAGATGAAATATTTTCCAACATTGAAAAGGAGACTGAAAGTTTGTCAAGTTATTGCCTTCAAAAAAACAAAAAAAAAAAAAAGCCCTTACTTGGTTTAAACTATATGTCAAGGGAATTTGGTTAGATTTTTTTATTCCAGAAATATTTATCATTGTATCTTAAAGGAATATTTATCATCGTACCTTAAAGAAGACTAAGCACCTTCCTACTATGTCTTAAGGACAAAAAGAATGAAAACCCTACCTAAAACTAGAGTACGAAGTCAAGTTCTCAAGCTTCTCTCTAGCTACAGTCTTCAGGATTTTATTTTTGCAATTTTACTTTATGCAGCTGATATTTACCTATAGATAAAACACCTTGATTTTAAGAAGGGATCAAAACCTACATTAAAGCAGTGACTCTAGGCAAAGAGTTTCATTCGATTAAAGTCATTTTCACTCCCACTATAGTCATGTCTGTGTTGTCCAGCAGAGAGATAGTCTCTGTTTTCAGAAGGACTGTAGCATCTGAGGGCCCCAGTACTTCTGTCCATGGTGCTAAGGGGTGGGCGGCTCCTTTCAGAAACCGCACAGGGTGACTGAAACTGTATTATCTCTGGGAGCACTTGGGATCACTGGGGTCAACCCAATTAGCTGAGGGATGGTGAGCCTTTGTTCTTACACTCTCATTAACAGTGCAACCCTGAGCAAATCGCTCAACGAGTCTTTCGTTTCTTATGTAAGATGGGAGAAATAAACCATATGCTGTCTATGTAAGACCTAAGAGACAGAGAGAAATGCTTTTCTTTTTGCTCTTTTCTCTGCTTCATGGCTTAAAAAGACCCACAGGCATATCATTGCCTTTATCTTATTCATACAAGACATGAAGTACATTTCTATATCTTCTCAAATTGATCAGATAAAAAAAGAATGCTTTAAGAACCAAGCATATCTATATCTACTATACTTTATGTGAAATTACAGGTTACTTGGGTAATTAGATGAGCTAAAAAATAAAAGGAACAATGTTTCAATATTGCTCCTCAAAAATGATTTCAAACTCCCTTGATTAGACTGAACCAATGATTCACACTTTAATTTTTCAAGAGTGGAAAAGGAAAGAAAGTGAATTAGGAACAAAGGAATAAAGCAGTTTATATCCACTTATAAGGGCAGAAATAAAATTAAAGCTTCTCGAAGAGACACTAGAACCTCAGATCATGCATGTAATACTCTTAAAATCTATCAAAACACCCTGGAAAAGCCGTTATCTGAAATTAATCAAACAGTTCAATGGCTTTAGAGATGAACAGTGCTCAGTGAGCCAGGTTTCTAAGGAGAGAAGAGGCCGAACTCTCAAGTAAGATCCCAGCAAGAAAAATGGTACCATCAAACCCTACTTAGTGAAATTCATGGTATGTTCCATCACATGGAGTCTAACTGCTGCTCGAGACTTCCTGGATCAAGAGAAGCTATTTCTGTCTTACCCTTTGCTTGCTAGAAGTCCTGAGATAGGTTTTATTTAAAAACATTGAAAGTATAGACAATAACTCTTGGGCAAACTCTGTGAACAGTGAAACTATCTCCTGGGCAGCCCCCAAAGGGTCATTCAGTTATCTCTTAATGGTGCGTTCTATCAAACTGTATTGTTAAAATGAGTTTAAATTTCATGCCTGCACACCATGGAGGTAAGTGCCATGTCAACAAACAGATCCAATCAGCCATAGAGAATTTGAGGGTAATAAACTAGCCGCTTGGCCTTTCTAGCCCATGAGGCAGCCTTCATTAATTAAGCAGGCGGGGGTCAAGTAAGCGACTGACAGCTCAATAAGATTCAGAGAGATGGAAGAGCCTGTTGATGTGTATCCTATTCTCCAGCAGGAACTAGGTTGGGGGCTTTGGGCTAGAGGGACAGGGAGAACACAGAGGCAAAGGCAGGGGAGAGAGAGTGGTGAAGGGGAAAATGGTGCCTTTTCTCCTTCCCTCAGTGCACAGGAGGAATGAGAAAATCATGTCCGAAGATCCGCTAGCGCTCTAAGCATGCAGCAGAGTGGCCAACTGCACAGCCAGATTAAGCTCTAGTTAGTTTCACATGTTGTGCATTAGCAGCATACTCTAGAACTGTTAAAGCAGCGGTCCCCAACCTTTTTGGCACCAGGGAACGGTGCTCTTATGAGAATCTAATGCCTGATGATCTGAGGTGGAGCTGAGGTGGTGATGCTAGCGCTGGGGAGTGGCTGCAAATACAGATGAAGCTTTGTTCACTCCCCTGCCGCTCACCTCCTGCTGTGCGGCCTGGTTCCTAACAGGCCATGGACTGGTACCAGTCCGTGGCCTGGGGGTTAGGGACCCCTGTGTTAAAGGACCTCACACTAATGAGCCTCTTAAATGGATCTGACATGGTGTAGCTGGGAAAGGAAACTTCCCACTCTGCGCGCAGAGTAGTCAGCAGGCAGACATCAACATCAAGCAGCCCCCTCTTGCTCCAAGCAGCTTTACTTTTTCGGATTCTAGGAAAAGCCACACGAGAGTGAAAGCCCAGACACAAAATTTGAGAATTCTTTCCAGGTCTGAGAATACAATTGAGGTTATCATTTATAATTCAAAGTGTCCAGTATACAGTGTTTTAAAAATAATTTCTTGTATTTGTAATCTGAAAACCAAGTGCTGAGGAATGAAATTTTACAGGTAGCATTTCAACCTACCTGTAGTAAAATATAGATAAGCCAGCCTGAAAGTGAGACTGACACCAAGGGATTTGGAAGCTATGTGGTGAGCAAATTAAAAAAAGCTACCCGAGATGTAGAGATGATGATGGTGGGCGATGACAGACTGCAGTGTGGCTATGAACTACAGAACAATCTTGGCAATAGCATCAGGCAATACGAAAAAAGCTTCCAAACATACCCACAGCTAAATGCGTGGTTACTTACTCCAAGTAAGTGCAATTCCTCTAGGTAGATTAACTTCAGAATCTGGCCAATATGTACAGGCACATCAGAAAAATTCAATATTAGTTAAGGTGATGTCTTTGTTACACTCTTTATAAAAACTAGAATCAGGAAAAGTGCCTTTCCCCCCTTTTCTATTTATACTAAGCAAAAAATAAAATAAAACAGAATGAACACTTAGAAAAAAATTACAGGTCATGGCCACATTCATGCAAAATTTCATTACTGATGGTCACATATCTTTTAAAAAGTCAAGACCCAATACATATCTTAATTTTTTCTAAATTTGGATGATTATGAAAGGGCCTTAAACCCACCACCATGACAATATGACAGAAATGGTTCCAGAACTTACAATCTTCTTCTCACGTTTGCTATTGTGTTCTACTGGCATGCTGCTGCCATTGCTTCCTGAGGGTACAATGCAGCCAGGGTTATGTGCCTGAGATGGAGGCATGCTCTGCAAAGGTTAAGACACACAGATGCATCACACACAGAAGACGATGACAGCCGAATTACACGTTAAGTACGTGCAAGTTAGAAAAGCAATGCAAACATTTTTATTACATGTGAGTAGTGCAACAAATAATTTTACAGGCTGGCGTTAAACTACTGATGAAATCTGACAAGACTACACAGATTCTATGGCAAATAGCGTAATTGGTTTTATTAAATTAAAAAAAAACCTTTTAATATTTTCAAAACACCTCAGGAACATCTCTTTCTCGCTTGAAAGATAAAAAATACTTTGAAAAGCCATAAACACAAAGAAAACGACAGCAATAATAACAAATAAAAAAATTCCACCATGACTCTGTGCGCTTAAGAAAGAGGTATTCCAGAATAGGATCCATGGAATGATAACCAATACATGTTCACATGCGGCATCTACCTTGTTAGTGCAAACTGTTACTTTTCCACAGGCAAAATGATTCCATTGATTCCATTCTATTTTACGTGGTACAGACTAGCCAAGCATTTACCTCCTGGCTTAGAAGAGGTTTTGCTTCAAGAGCTATCCTTTTCTTATGCTCCTCTTTTACAGGCATTAGGGGCTTGAAAAACTTTGGCGGCTGAGGAGAGAATGCTTTAAAAGGGCTGACTGTTAAGGCATGAGGATTCTCTGATGTACAACCTGCGGAAGACAAAAAAGCATAGGTTTATAGGTACAGAGCACTTTAACCAACACTCAGGAAGCGAGGTAATAACCTAGCCATAGAAATATCTGGTATAACAAAGAAATTAATAAGCTAGTATTTGGATAAGTATTAAAATGGAGGTAGGCAAGAATGGAGATTATTTCTACAAAGTCACAAAGAGTCATCAAACAAATCAGAAAAACCGAATTTTCTACTCTTTTCAAGATCCAACTTAAGAGCCACTTACCAGACCAATTTTGACTCATGCTGATTTTGTTTCCCTGAATTCTCAGAGACCTTATTACCAGCACGTACATTTTGGCACATTATCATTTAATATCTTATTTTATATGTATCTCATTTCCAGTTAGATTTTAAGATCTATAATGGTGACTTTTCTATCTTTTACTGCACATAGCAAGTAGAGGTTCAATAAATAATGAATGTATACTATATAAATTTTCCTGCAAGCTCCCTTTTCCTTCAAGCCACCCTGCTCCATGTGACTAAAGAAGGATAATTCTTCCTGGCTTTTACACTTTCTTCTATTTTTAGGCCTCTTTTCCTCTTTCTATATTTCCCCACCCCAGTTCACTGGTACAATGGTACTTAGTAAAATGTAAGATTAATAGCACTGCCTTACATATTCAAAGAATGCTGTTCCCTTCAGGGCGCTGAAAGATTTTATAGTTAGGTAATAATGCTATCACTAATCAAACTCATTTCTGGTAACATTTTAAAAATTGCTTTAGGAATCAGGGATGTGTTCTCCTAAAAAAATCCTTTGAGCACAAAAACATGACAGAGGTGGATATTCTTTTGGTAAAGAATGAAATCTAATCATAATGTGATAAGATTTGTGTGCGTTTCAAAATTGACTTCCAACTCAAGAAATGATATATGAAAAATGATTTGAATAGTCTAAAGTGCTATACAAAAGGCCTATTATTACATTATTTGGATGATACATTGGATACAAGGCAAAAAGAAATCGAATAAATGAACATGATATGTTCTAGTCAAGAAGATAGTTTCGGATCATCTAGCAAACTAGAATTTCAGCTTCTTATCTTATGTCATCTGTAAAAGAATTTTACCTCATGCTTTTCCTAAGAAATTATAAAGAAGAAACACAGAAAAACAATCTCACCACTCCCTTCTTTGCTCCTTCGAGGTGAATCCCTGGGCAAAGTTCCATAACACGCGACATCTTGGTAACTGGAGCTGTAGTCAGACATGTCCAGCTGATTCTCAGGCCAACCCTGCAAGGTAAAAATATGGGTTACACTGTAATTAAGTCCCTCTAAAATGAGAAATAAAGCCCAGATTTGTTTTTTTCTATTTTTTTTTTAATGGCAGTATATGTACTTGATTTTTATTACGAAATATTTTCAACAGGTAGAAAAGTGCTAAGTATGACAAATACTGTCATACCTGATATAACTAGAGTGATTGTTAATATTTTATTGTATTTGTTTAAGATTTAATAAAATCACTACAAATAGAGTGACCTACAGGTCCTATTCATCTTCCTTCATATCCAGAAGCAGCCACTCTTATGAATTTGGTATGTATCTACGGTGACTGGATAATTTAAAGACCAAACTGAAATAGTTCCATTAATAATTTTCCCTGGGTAGCAGGCATAAACTGGGACTGCCCCAGGCAAACTAGATGGTATGATTACTCTATATATCTGAGATTTAACACTATCAAACTGGCATAAGATATTGGTATACTAAAGGGAGAAAACTCCTCTTGTATATCATCTGAACTTATTTAATTTACTTCAACTTCTCAGGAGTTGGCTGCCTCTAAGGACAGATTTTAAACTTTTTGAGAACATAATCCATGTTTAAACTCTGAATCATCCAGTCTCTAGCTTGTTAACTTACATAGGATACGAGTTCAAAAAATGTTTCCTGAATAAGATGATGTTGTAAAAGGCCCTTAATTTCAAATCTCTAATTTTATCCCTTAGAAATAATTGTGATGTTGCTATGGTGGATGTAATACCTTCTGAAATCATGTACAGTTAGATGCATAAATACACAGATATTCAATTATGTGTGGGATTATCCTGGTATGGAAAGTAGAGTCATGCTCAGTAACGATTTAACACTCAGAGTACACAGTAATTTCACGTGAATTATTTGAACTTGGACATGTGGAGACAATGATTTGCATAAGATTAAGATGGGAAGTCCAGAGATTTTAAAAACACCAAGATACCCTAACCTTCCAGATTTAGAGTTTGCTAATAACCTAACCATGTCCAAAGGTGCACACCTTATCATCTTCATCAAAGCCAGAAAGGTCTGGTCGACTGGAAGAGACCTATAAAATATGAGTGGTTTTATCAATGTGTTTACATAGTCAATATGAATTTTACATATGCATCTATAAAGAAATATGATGTCATATATACAGATGAAGCCTATATGACCATCTCCTCTCTTCTTTCTTCCCTCCCCAAAAGCAATGACTATCCTAAATTTGGGGTTTATTATTCCCATACAGATTTATATAATTACATATATGTATACCCATAAATTATAGCATTATTTTGCATATTTTTATAATTAATATAAAATGGTATCTTACTATTTATGGTCTTTCTCAACAGTCCAATAATTTATTTGTTCTATTCTGGACGGAGAACTAGGTTGCTTCTAATTTGTTTCTATTACAAACTACGATGAAATACATGTTATTATTGCCCCCAAGTACCATCATAGCTGCATCCTACCAGTATTAACATGTGAACTATCAGCATCCTTTAGTTCTAAATATATCCTGTATATCTATGAGACTTTCTGAGCACACATTAAGGCATGAAATCTCTGGCTATTGATAAGGTATGTGCTCTTTCATAGGCATTTTAGGATCAGCTTATCAGATCCTAAAAGAAATTATGTTAGGAATTTAAAGATCAGTTGAAGGAGATGTGCCAATGTTTTGATACTGTAGATTCTCATCAATGAATAGTCACTCTTTCTCCACATGTTTAGGCTTTCTTTGCGGTGATAACTGGATTCAGATTTTCTATGTCTTCTTGCTTCTGTTTTTTTTTGTAGAAATTTCCCTTTGTGTAAGTTGGTACTTTTACCGACATAACATTATTCATCATTTGCTCTTATGATGTCTAACTCTCTGTTCTCTCTGTAGTGATAAGCCCTGTATTATTTCCAATATTTGTATTTTCTTTCCTCTTTTTGGCTCCAATCAATTCTTAATTAGAAGTCAGCCCATTTGACCAGTCTTTTCAAAACACCTGCTTTTCAGTTTTATTAATTCTTTCTATTGTTTGTTTTCTATTTCACACACCTCTGTTCTAATCTTTATTATTTCCTTCTTTATTTGAATTTATTATGATTCTGCTAATATTATCTCCTTTAAAAAATTATTCTGATTATCTTTTTCCAACTTAAAAAATTTTTATCCATAAATATTTCTCTATGAATCTCTTAAAAATAAAGAATTCCTTTTCCTTTTTTAAAAAGCATAACCATGCTACCATTAGCATACCTTAAAAAGTTAAGTGATTCCTAAATAGTATCGGACATCCAGTTAGTGTTCGAATGTCATGCAAACATTTTCATAGTTAATTCTGAATCTGGATCAAAAAGGTTCATATGCTGCAATTGGATGATATGTCTTATAAGTCTCTTTCAATTTATGAGTTTTACCTTTTCTCAAGGTCGTTTTTCCTGTAAAGTTTCCTACGGTCGAGATTTTGCTAACTGAATCCCAGAGGTATTATTTAACATTCTTCTCTGTCCCTTGTAAATCTTAGTAATTAGATCTGGAGTCTTGATCAGATTTAGGTTCTTTTTTGGAGGTTACTAGGTAGAATACTTCATAGGTAGTCTTTCTTTAGTATTTAAGATAGATATTTCCCTCATTTATTTTTTACTCTTCTTTTTAATATGAGCTACACATTTCCTAATGGTAGCTCTCACTTTCCTTTTCTCTACTGTCTAGTATTCCTAAGATTCCACTAAAGGCCCAGTCACGTTACACAGCTGTGTTCTCTGGCGTGTTTCCCTCAAACTGAGGAGCAAGTGTGGCACTTTGGGACGCCTGCACCAGTGCTGAATGTCCTATCCTGCCCGTAAGCCCTGATCACAGGCCCCCTCATGTGGTGCCCCCAAGCTGAGACACGTCACGTGAGCCCCAGACCCTGGCAGGGTGAGCTCACACTGTGTACGTTGGGTGTGCTGAGGCTCCTCCGCAGGTGCCGAGCTTTGGCGGAAAGCGCTTCTTTGACCGTGACCGCCTGTAAATTTGAAGAAATAAGTAAAACTTATTTTTCTCCTTTGATGGCAAGAGTAACATATGTTTATTGTGGATGATTTAGAAAATACAGAAATAGAAAACATTTCAATCCTACACGCCATTTGCTCCCCCATATTTACAAACTTGGAATCTTTTTGCACCATTTTTTTTTTTTTTTGCTTAATCTATCAAAAACATATTTTTCATAAATAAAACCAGGGAAACTGCTGAACTAAAGACATTTATATGTTGTGGATTTTTTTTTTTATTTAGGTGGGCAGAGAAAACGTAGAAGAAATATATATCTTCTTGTAAAACTACATTAAACTTTTATACTGTTTTCCTCATGTAGTAATTTAGGTGGGACTTTCACTAAAGGAGGATTTTTCTGACAGATGCTAACATTAGTCCTCTTGTTACACAAAACACTTTCCATAACTTCAACTATTACTTCTATAAAATTACACCTCCTGTCTTACAGTTCCACTACCTACTAGATTATTTTTACCTGAATGTCCTGTTCTTGCCGCAAAAGTTAACCAGGGTCCGAAAATTAGGGTAATAGCATGTAGTTAAGCATATGAAATTCAAAGTCAAGCTTTCCAGGTTTACATCTGACTTTGTACCACTCCCTAGCTGTGTAACGTTGGGCAGGTTAACTAACTTCTGTCAGTTTCAATTTTCTCATTTACAAATGGGGATTATAACAGTATTTACATCATAAGGTTATCTTGAAGATTAAATAAACTAATATATCTAAATTACTTAGGCACAAAGCTTATGTAAAAGGTATTTAATAAAATATGGTCATTATTTTGATTTTTCTTAGTATTTATCAAAGTAACTATTTTGTCTAATGAGATCTCTATTCAAGTTTTTCTTCTCGGGCAGATTTAGAGAGAAGGTGTTTGGTAAATAAATTCATCTTTGTTCATTTGGGGTAAAGACTGGTGACTCATCGTCTGGTCTAAATACTGCAGTTACTTGCCTGCCGAAGCCGCTCAAGGCTCAGAATGTTCTCCACCTGCAGCACGCCACGCGTGTACTTCTCAATGTAAGTTTCTCCATCTGACGTGCCTTCATTTTCACTCCTTGCTGCCATGAGAGCCAGAGTTTCCCGGTCCTCAATTTCCTCTGTTGCCTAACGTGACAAAAAGGTGATTATGATACTTTTATATGAACAGTATTTTTTTTAATTCAAACTGTAGTGAGAAAATGATTTTAACACATTCTCCGTTACTTAAATTTTGATATTTTTAAAAAAGTAATATATATTTTACCTTTGGTATATTGGATACTATTTCATAGGTTACACCACAGGAATAAAATATATTTTTCAATGATATTCTCCTCTTCAAACTCTGGGTGAAACTCTGGTAAAAAAATAAAGCCAAATTAAGCAATGTGAAAAGATGTTATTTAGTATTTTGCAAATTGTAAAAGCATTATCAATTGTTACATTTTTTGATACATATACAACACCTTACTCAGTGAAACATAAAAAGAATGGGACCAAAGAATCTTTGTCTCCACCCATGAGGGACAATAATGTCCAGCTGTTTTTGGCAGAGTTTGCAGCCTATTCGAGTGTGTGAGTGTGTGAGTGTGAGTGTGTGTGTGTGTGTGTGTGTGTGTGTGTGTGTGTGTGTGTGTTTGCTTCTCTGATTTGCTGCCTTCCTTTTCATCTCAGGGTTTAATCAGTCTAACTTGGCAAATTACCAGAAAACTAGAGAGGATCAGCACCTCTGAGATGAGATCTGGGGAGGCATTCAGATAGGAATTTATTTGCAGCCTACATGTTCTCCTGGTTTTGTCACTAATCTGCTTAGACCTGGCACTTAACCCTTTTCAAACAGTGAAATGTCATAGCTCCACTGCCTCCTAGGATTATGGGTCCCGAATTGGTGAAGGTGAAAAACTCCTTCAGTGGCTGACATTTTCCTCTGCTAATCTCAGGCCCCATTATCTTGGATAAATGAGAAGCAGACTATGACCTGGCAAGTATGGTAACAATCTGCACATCCACCACAAAACACTACTTTGTGATAGAGAGAAGGAATAAACTTAAGAGTTCATACAGGCAAAAGCAGAATCAGGCCCCGTTACTACCTGTTTGTTGTAAATATTGGCTGCAATCCGTTTTCGTAATACTAACTCCATAGCAGCCGGGTGGCTGAGCTGGACTGTGGTCTTCACTATCAGGTAAATCCTTTCATTCTGGGGAGTGACCCTATTCAAGTGAACGGAATCATGCACCGAGGAGTCCCAAGAGGCTATGGCTGAAACCTAAGAATGGGAGAAGGATGGGAAGATGGAAATAAGACAACTCGGGGGTAGCATTTTTACACCACATGCTAGAGAAAGAAAATAAAGGCAACTCAAATGAATTATAGATATTTTTCCTTGCTTTTTTTGAATGACAGCACAGAAGTTCTATTTTTTTAAAGTCCCCAGTCCTCTTCTCCAAAGCAAACCACAGTAGCTTAATGGAAAGATAGACCTACAGGTATGTGCAGTAATCCAAAGCCCTTTTAGAGAACCTTAGGAGTCAATTACCTCCTCATCACTGTGCTTTATGATGGGCAGGTAGAAAAACTGGCTGCCATGCTCCTTGGGCAGGATGGAGTTCACACCTGAAGCATGGGGGCCCACGAGCTGCTCATTGGCACTGAGGTCATCCGCTAACCGTGTCCAGGGCACAGAAAAAAAAGTGGAGAAGTCAGGTTTTAATTATGCACCAGAAATTTTAAAATATGTTTTTTATAGATAAAGTTTACATATAACATATTTTAATTTTTTTCTCTCATTCCTTATCCTGCAGTTGAAATAGAGACTCTAATACTCACACAGCTTTTACCTTTTTCAGAAACTATGGGAGTCAAAAACAAAACAAAACAAAGCACCTTTGTGAGTCTCCTATAAATTGCACTGAATATATTCTATATATAGTCCTAGGAATAAACATTTTCACTATATAAAGACACCTTAGAATTTCGCTGCTTTCTGATGTTAATTCCTCCTGGAACCTAGTGTCTGTTGTCTTACTTACATAACATATTAAATTAGAGATTTGAGAAGTTAAATGATCAATTTAGAATCAAAGTTCTCAGCACTTGGGAGAAATCTGAAGGTTGTCTTCTTCCAATGTCCTATGCAATGTGGGATTTACCCTTCACAAATCTCTGTAAATGGTCACCCAGCTTTTGTTTTCACATCTCCAATAACGGGAACTCACTCCATGAGGCACATAGTCTACTTCCAGGATTTTAAAAAATTCTTCATGTGAAGAGCCAAAGCCCACCTCCCTGTGTCTTCCATCCATCCATTACTGGTCTTCCCTCCAGAAGAGGGGTTTTCAGGCTGTATTTTGAGGATCCCAAGGGCCTTGCAGAAGGGCCTGCTAGAGCCTGCCCATCCCCAAACTCAGCAACTCTGCTTTTGTATTCTACACTTGGGATTCCATTTAAGATTTCATTTGAAAATGGATTTTACTGCTAAAACATATTGAAAACCAGTGTTCTAGGTTTGCCCAGGTTTGATCTACTTGCTATAATTAAGGATAACCCTTAATAAAAGGTGACAATGTGATCATGTTGTGGCATCAACACTATTGCAAGTGGGGAGCAAGGGGAACTAGTAAGGAATGCAGATTCCTAGGCCATTGGCAAAGCCTAAAGATTCGGAATCTCTAAGGGTGATTACTTTCTCAGATAATTTCTATGTTCATTAATGCTTTAGAGTAATAGTTACTTTAATGTTTCTCTACGCAGTTCTCAATCTCCCAAGTCCTCTCTTTTTATGATTAAATATACACATCTCTCTTCTAGTGATTCTATATGTCATGGTTATATATATTTGGTTGGACTAAAAATGTCACCTAGACAGAGCATATGAGTGATTAGAAAAGTGATTTAAGGATCAAAATCATGTGAGTCTGAAGAGATCACAAACCTTAATTAAATGTAATAACCTCTGGAATGTTAGCGGTCTACTTACCATTCAAATCAAGGAAGAGAACTGGTATGTGGGTTTCCATTCCAGGTGGTGGAATCCTAAATTTAATAACAAAATTTAATTATAACCAAGTATGTATTTTACTCTTGTTGAGTAACGAGACACCACAGAGGCATGGACACAGAGAACCACCGTGGAGATACAGGTTCTATTAATGAAATATTTTCACATTTCTTGATGTCCCTATTAACACAAAACATGGGAATTATGCGACTTATATAAAGAACTACCAGTTATATGAATGACAATTAATTAATTGAAACAAAGATTATTTGATTCTTTTCTAAAAGTAATTCTAGTGATGGGAAAGAGATAGGGATATTGTTAAGAGTGGGCACACAGGACAGGATCAGAACCCAGGGGAAGTAAACAAAAGGAACGATATTTTAGAAGATCAAAGAAGGAAAGAATAAAAGATGTATGAAAGGAGGTAGTTAAAGAGGGCCTCAAGGAGTAGAATATGATTGAGATTGAGCTGGCTGTTTATCATAAGTGGCTGGCCGATATACTGCATGTAACCTATAGGATTCCAGCGCAAGAGGAGATTCTTCAGAGAGAAACATCGGGTTACAAATTGCGTGCCTGCGATTTGAAATTTTCTAGTTTCATAATATTGTGAAAGCAATTACACTTCCATTTATCATTACAGACAAAATAACATCACTAATGTTTCTACGCCTGTCTAAAAGAGGTTATCTGGGCATGTACATTTTACGCTGAATAGAAACCTAATTTCTCTTAAATGCATAGGACATACTGTCATAATAAGAATGAGAATAAGCAGCAGCAGCAGTTACCATTAATGAATGGGCACTTATAACAAGGTATTTTTAAAATATATTATCTCTATTCTTTACAACAGTATCAAAAAGTTAGCTCTGTTAATAGATTAGGAATAAAGCTAAGGAAATTTAACACCTAAGAGCTGCAGCTGGAAACTAAACCAGCTCTATCTGACTCCAGAGTCTAAAATGTGGCACTATTTCTTATAAGCATCAGGATTGACAGATGAGTCAACTAACTGACCATAGTTTGTGTAGTGTTTAAGTGCTGACTCTATGTTAGTGATCAAATTAAGTGGGCACTAGGGAAAATAAGAAAATATACTTTCTGCCCTCTTCGGGTACACCCTAAAAACACTTTTCTTTTGAGCCAATTTTGGGAGATCCGCACAGCATGTCTAAGTTGCTCATGCAGAGGAACTGAGAAATGTGTTATCTGATTCTCGGCCAGGTAATAAATGCTCTCTAGCTTCCTGTGAGAGGAAGTGGGCTGCGGTGGGGAGGCAAAAAGGGAAGGCAGCACAGAAAGGGAAAAGGTGAGTAGCCCTTCTCACCTTAGCTCATGTTACTTAACATTTCCTGTGACAATCCTGGAAAGTTACTTGCATGACTCTTGCCACAGGCCATCTTGTCAGGCCTGCACAGAGGGAAGGGTGGACTTACCAGTCGGCAGGTGCCCCAGGGATCCCACTGCTGGGTGCTGGCACCAGCACAGCATTCCTTTCTTCCGTAAGCCCGACCCATTGCTCCACGAGCCGGGCTTCCCGCTCCACTTCGTCCTCTGTTTTCTCTGGGAGATGAAGTGAGGGAATGAGTGTCAAGAAGGAAGAAAGTAAAATTTCTACATTTAAAATAAGTAGAGTTTTACTTGATGATACCCACGTATGGCTTAAACATCAATTACATTCCAAGAAAGAATTTGAGGCTTTACAATTCAAGCCTGAGCACCCCAAGCATTCGGAGAGGCTACAACACTAGCTTGACAGACCATAAACCAAGAAGAGTAGAAAGTATGTTGGAACAGGAATTAGAGGACTTGGGTTATTTTACTGGTTTTGTAATTTGGGGAAGTTATTCAACAGATGAGTCTAGTTTCCTAAAGGGATAATACAAGTCGTGTCTACTTCATGCACTTATTGGAAGGATCAAATGAAATAACAGATGTGACATCAGTTTATAAAACTATACACCATTTTATAAAAATAGAGAATTAAAAACACCATTAACCACACTCCACAAAACGCCACAAAACTTTCATCATGAAAGGAATTTTATTTGATATATTTTGAAATCCTCTTACCCATAATCCAACTCTGGAGCTGCCTGGGCATAGTCAAAGTGAGTTTTCATTAGCAGGCTGAGCACATACACAAACTGTGACACTAAGAACACTGAGCCAAAATGTTTTACTGAGGGAGAATGTTTGCTAACTTCTCCATAAAATGGACTAACATCTGTGATGTCATTTGGTACAGAATCAACCACAATGAGTGAATCATAAAGTCAGAATGAGACACCAAGGGTTTTAAGAGCATATTTCTACTCTAAAATTCAACAGGTCATTGCCAGCATAAGCAAACTGCATCCTTGGAGCTGGGTGGCAGGGAGTGGAGCTTTAGGCCAACTTTAGGCCACCCTGTACCAGCGGAGTACATGGCTACTGCTCAACAGTAGCTGAAGCTGACCTGCCAAGTGTAGTATCAGATGTGACTCTTTGGCTGCTGTCAGTCCCAGGTTCTGAGCCTGGAATGCCTTATTATTGAGATACTGGTATTGATCATACTTGCATTCATCGAAACAAAATTTGAGTTTGACATTTAATGTCACAGTCATCTCAGAGTTTTATGAAAACTTATTACTTTCAATTTCAGAGCCTTCTTAAACCAACACTATAAAATATAATTAAGTAACATCTATAATAGTTGCAAGGTTAAAAAAGGGAAATACTATCATTCAATGAAGGGAAGAAAACCCAACCTACTGTTATTGTCTAGAAGTGAAAAAGCCCAGTTGACTTTAATCTCACGTACCTTTTTTATTGCTGATTTTTTTAATCTGTTCATCTAAGTATTCTCGTCGTTTAATGAGTGCATCAGACCACCTCTCTCTGACACAGTTTAAGTCTTCTTCCTGACATCAGGGAAGGAAAGCATTTTTCTGAAAAGTGCATAGACAACTATTTCTTTCTTTTAAAAAAAGATGTTTATTTGATTAGAAAATTTTTCATTAGAAAAGACCATTAAACATTGCTGTGTGATTAATATGCAAGAAAGCAGAGGTCTCAGTAACAACGCATGCTGATCAAGGATCCCGTTACTAAGAAATCAGAGCCCTTGGATTTCCAAAAGGGTAATTACACTTGAAAGCAAGAGAGGCTCAAACTACACCAGCTGTTGGATGATTCTTACAAGGTATATGTGTATGTGCATGTGTATTTAAATTGTAGCTATTCATTTGAAGAATTTACAATTCTAAGCTGAAGGATACCATGGACAGAGCCAAACCACGTAACAGCAAACGGAATGGAAAACGACAAGCATTTTCATAGTTCATAGTTCAATGGCTTAATAACATGTTTTCTGAGATGCAAAGAGTAGATCAGCAGAGAACATTTGCCACATGGTTGTACCTCCAACCATCACTGTGAGGCTAACTGAAAACCTCCCACGCAAAAACCCGACATGCAGTCAGCCATGCTTTCAGAACTCCCAGCAGCAGCCCCTGGACTTCACGTGGACATGTGGCAGGAAGCGCAGAGACAGCCGCAGGAGTTAGTTAATGGCATTGCTGAGATCCAAGGGGATACTGGTATTCCTCCTAAAGTTTGTTTCTGATTGCTTGCTTTCTTTTTTAATAAAGGAGGGAAAGAAACCCACCAATTTTATCCAAAATGCTCTGACTTGCTTAATTCTAGTCTAACCCTTAAAACATTACATTAAGAGCTGATACCCGAGCACTTCTGAGGCCCCACCTATAATGTATCCGCATTTTAAGTATAAGAAGGCACACTGGGAAAACATGCTTTTAAAGTTTATGTGGAGAATCAGTACAAAGACTGGAAACCAAACCCGAAAACCTTGATCTTGGTTTGCTGCCTTGACTATTACTATTATTGCACATTCCGTGATAGCACGCCAGTCAGCACTGATTAGGTAAAATTTCATATTTATACATTTTTTTTTCCTAAATTTACAAAGAGAAAAAGTTGAGATTTAAATTTTCTAGGTTATAGATAACTAACCTTGGCCCTGATGAGAGAAGAAAACTGGCTAAACAAAGCAAAATTGTGTGTATAAAGTGCCTTCAATTTTCTTACCCAACAAAAAGTATTTTAAAGTGAAATGTTATATTACACCAATACTATGCTCTTGGATGTAAAGAGCTAAGTGCAGTTTCTCACAGGAAAGACAAGAGCCTACTTAGAGAATGTGAATTTTAAGGTAACCAATTTAACACAGTGATAATAGTCTTGCTTAGAAAGGCTTTACAAGCTGGTAATTTGAGATGGCATAGCAAAAATGCAGTATCTAGTTATAAATTTTGAACTAACAGAAAAATCTGTAATGGTAGTATTGCATCCCTGTTTACATACAAAGCAAATCAAAAGCAAGTGAAAAACTGCATAGTCTTGCTCTATGCTCCTCCTTCCTCCTCCCTGCCCTCTGCTCTGCAGATGCTGGCAATTAGCAGTAGCTGTGCCCCATGCCACAGGATTGACAGCAGCAATACCTGATAACTATCCATATCATCACCATCCTCATCATCTCTCTGGTAGGAAAAAAATAAACACAAAGGACATGCATTTTGTTTCTCAAACAGCACACAAGGAAAATAATTCTTTAAGCTTAACACACATTACAATGGACAGCACACATATAGACACCAGCATAATAAAACATTTAGCTGAATCTCAAAAAGGTTTAGTCACTTGTCTATAATTACTTAAGAAATTTATGTTTTCAAAAATATAAATAAAGGAGTCATTTAGAAACAAGTTCTCTCTTAGACAGGACTAGGTACCAATACCACCAAGTCAGGCCTTACTGCACTGTTATGTGCATAGTTGCTATATATTTCTGGGTGAACTATCTGACTGAGGTTTAGAGTGGGCTTAACAGACAGAATCACAGATAAAGGACTTCATAGAGACTCCACTGCTGTTTTAGCCATGAGACAACTAAGGCCATGAAGGATGAAATGATTTAATCTAAGGATCACACACATAATGGCAGGGGCAGGCCTCTAGTCTTTCGTCTAAGAGTTCTTTTCTCTTTATTACACAACTATCACTGATAAAATCATCACAGTGAAAGCCCGCTGGGGAACTAAAGACTACCTTCATACAAGGTTCTGCACTAGACTACTGCAACAAAAGCAGAGCCCACTATTTTGAATATATGGGTCTATTATTATCCACTATTGTATATATCAGCATCTGTACCAATCAGTTAAGGAAAATCAAAACTATCTTAAACATACAGCAACATTTTACAATAATAATATAAAATAAAAAGCTTGGTAAAACAAAATCATCATGTTGAAAATAAAAAAGTTGAGTCAAGAATGAAGAAATTCTCATTTGTAGAGAATATTCACTCATCTGGAGGCAGGTTCTACTCTAAATGAATGCTAGGCCATGGAACAACTTTTTTTCATCAATGGTTATTGGAGTGTTAATATTCGAACAGGTAATGAAGTGGTCTAGTCATAAAAGAGAGAAACTTTTTTTTAAGTGCTTTAAAAATATACTTACATCATTCTCATGTCTAAGTATACATCAAAATATACTGCCTTTTAAAAGTGCTTTAAAAATACAGTTAAAATTATTCTCTGAATAGACTTCAAAATACACTTTTGTTTTAGTTTGGTAACTACCATTATCTTTTTGAATAACTAACTTGTTAAATGCAGGCCTAATACTGAAGTAATTTTTCTTGAATTAATTTCCTATATTAATGAATAAAATACATACAGTGCTAATTTATCATTTTTTTTAGACTAAGGAGATATTTCTAGTAACTGAAAACTAGCTCGAGCTTTCATGATGTATAACTATTGTGAAGTCAACATATTCTAAATTGACTTGAGCTACTGCATCAGAATAATTCTAAAGTACTATGTCAACAAAAAAGGTTATTGGCCATGACCTTGAGCATGGCAGCAATAAACAAGCAAACAAACAAATAAACAAATAAATAAAAGTGAAATTTAAAATAGCCACAGTTTAAATTTGCATGACTGATATCATGTTCTTCAAAGAACATTTAGCACTGGAGAAAGGCTGATATTTGAGAGTTCAAATCTTGGCAAAATCAGTTTTAACTCAAAAGGTAGAGCTGTTTTAAAAAGTGCACATAATCAATCCTTATAACGTTCCTCAGATGGGAACACTTAGTCAGCTGATGATCCATATTCTGTAGATCACAGTTTAGGGTACGTAGATCCAGTTTTATCTAAGATCAGAGATTTATTAATACACAAAATTCTACTGCAGAAAAGGACCTCAGAGAATTATTAAGTCTACCTCATCATTTTAGAGGAGAGAAAAAGGGAACTCAAAGTTTAAATTACCCAGTCAAGGTAAGCATTTAGGAAGGCCGAACTAGACTTAAGAACCCTGTTCTTCTCACTAGAAGTCCAGTGCTTTTTACCAGGCCTGCAGCCATCCCAACGTTGATGGCCAAGCGAGGGACGGAACTAGGATGAGAATACAGACAATCTGATTTCCTACTCCATACACAGGAAAAGTTTTGTGAAGAAACTGTCCCCAAAACAGCAGACTGTCCTCACACCTTCATTCACACTCTCCCCCCAGGCTCTGAGGGCTTGAGGTAATTTTGGCCTGAGATAGGAAGGGTAGTGTCTGACAAAGCTATTTCTTCCGTAAGGCCTGATAGTTCAAGTTAATGTTCTTTTTAGCTTTCAGAAAAGTCTTTGCCTAAATGCCAGGAAGCCAAAAGGAAACGGATATATGATGAATCATTCTTGAGGTGGGCTGGGCTTATGCCCAGATGCCACAGAGAAATGTTTCTGCCCCACAACGAAAGGGAGAGTATTCTCTCTCACATGTGACAGTGAGGGAGCTTGAATTTAACGGCTGATTTCTCCCAGTCCTTAATTCCTATCTGATAGTACACTGGGGACTTAGTGAAGCACTAGCATTCTTTCAGGCCACTGGGGACAAGTTCCTAATCTTACAGTTTATTCTCAAGGAGTACTGAAGAGATGTGACTGGTAATATGAAGATCAATTCCTAGAGGTTTTCATCTTTTAATTTTAACAATGAAAACATAAGATTTAGTAAAGGGAGATTTAATGGACAAAAATGATCATGAGGATAACTTTTAATTTTTTAAAAAAGTAAAGCTTTCAAAGAGCTGGTTAATTAATTATTCCAGTGTATGGGGGCAATTTTATGTTAATAAAAATGGGTCGAGCTAGGCAGTAATGCCATACCCAACGTAATTTGGGACAGATATAAAATCAAATCTGCCTAAAGTAAATGAGTACTATAGCATTAAAATGTGTATTTATAAATAAAATTATTATTATTAATCAACACTAAGCCCATATAGTACTTTAAATCTAGAAAAAAAAGGCAATGGATAGAAATATGAATGGGTATACAGATATATGGTTAAGGCAAGGAAGTTCTGTTATATTCCCAAAAAGGTCTCCATCATAGATCATGGACTATCTTAATTCTGCATTAATCAATCTTTGTTAAATACTATCTTAAATATGTTTCTCTTACCTGGTAACTGTCCAGCCCTCTTTGGAGCTTGGTGGACCTAGCAGTCACGCAGCCAATGGATACTGATAAGATGGCTTCAACCATAAGTGGCAGTGTCCCTGAATGCTGTACAGGTTTTACTGTGACTTGCACTCTCCGAGAATGACCCTGTAGATGTGGGGGTGCGATGAGGGAGTGATGTGGAAATGGGTGCCAGGAATGGAAATGGGGAGAGATGGGGGAAGAGGATGAAGGAAGGGACATGAATTAGGAACAAAAAGGCAAATAATTAGAAAATTCCAGAAATTGTGTGTAAGAATAGGACAGAGAGAAACCATGAAACAAACAAAAACAAACGTAGTACCTGTCTGAGTTGAAAGATGCCTCCTGTGTTGACATCTTTTGCCTGATGGAGCTCCACAGCAGCATATTCCCCTAACTCATTCAATTCTAATATGGAGATCCACATTTCTATTCTGCGAGTTACTTCATTCCACCTGCAAAAACACATTCCAACAAGCAGCAATGTTGTTGCCCAGGGCCATTATTAGGAATAAGCCACCAATCACTGAGCACTTACTAGGAACTGTGCTATGTATGATGCACTCTTGAAACAACCGTGTAAGTTCTTTTTATTTATTTTATTGAGATATAACAAATTCAGTGAAATGTGCAGAACTTGAGCACAGAGACCAATGAGTTTTGATAAATGCATATACCTGTGTAACTTATCCCACCATTACCTTAGAAAGGTTGCTCATGTTTCTTCCCATTTAGTGCCCCCTACCCTCACCCCTTCCTGAACCAGCCATGTAAACTCATAGACTAGCTTTGCCTATTCTAGAATTTCCTACAAATAGAATCATGTAGTAGTATGTACTCTTTTAGTCCTGGCTTCTTTGAATCTGCATGTTTTTGAGATTTATCCAAATAGATATTAACAGTCTTTTAAATATTTTATTGCTGCATGATATTCTATTATATGAACAATACTACGATTTGTTTATCCATTCTCATATTGAAATACATTTAGGTCATTTGTAGTTTGGAGATATTATGAATAGAGTTGCATAAACATTCCTGTACAGGTCTGTGTTGTGGACTTATGTTTTTATTTTTCTTGGGAAAATACGTAGGAGTGGGATTGTTGGATGATCAACTTCACAAGAAGATATCCTCCTGTTTTCTTCTATAAGCTTTATAGTTTTATCTTTTATACTTAAGGTTATGATCCCTCTCGAATTAAGTTTTGTGTATGGTGTGAAGTAAAGATTAAGGTTTTGTTCTGTTTTCTTTTTGATATAGATATGCAATTGTTTCAGTCTTGTTTGTTGAAAAGACTTTCCTTTCCCCACTGAATTTCTTTAGTCTTGACCTTGTGTCTAAATCTCACAGCCAAGTACGAACCTGTCACGCAGCGTTCTTGTCTTAGCATGAAGGGAATCGACTTCCCAGATGGAGCTACCATTTCCAGCACACCGGTGTCCCCACACTTCAATTGCCAATGCTCCATCTGAAATGAACTCCAAGAATTCTTCTGTTACATTCACCACATAGTCCTGGGATAATCGAGAGGAAAAAAAGAGGAAAAGGATTATGTGTAAAGCAATCTATAAAATTTCCCTTTTAACTTTCAACTTTATAGAGATTCACTCTGGAGTATATTAGCCTAATCCCAACCTTAAAAACCATCTCTACTGTTTTATAAAAACCATAAAGAACCACATAATATTAAACCTGAAAGAGATATCATGAGGTAATTTAACCCAACCCCTTTCTTTTATAAATGAAGACACTGCTTGTCCCACATCATACTGCTTGTTTGTTACAGAGCTGACTCTACGTGCTCTTATTTCAAGTTCATCTTAGTTCCACAGGATCACTGACTTTCAGCCTGCAGAGACTAATCAACACATCAAAAAAGGAACTTCTCATTGTTCCGCGATATGGCTTAGAAGACTAATAACAGAATTAAATTTTATATGATTATCTTTGTGATTCTGAGCTCTTACTCTTAAACTCTCCCAACAGAATTCCTCATTTTAAAATGCAAACAGATGAGTGTGAGGAAATGAATACTGAATTGACTGAGTATGGCAAATCACCTAGAACAAAGCTGTAGGCAAAGGACGAAGCCAATTTTCTTTCCATTAATATCACAGTGGAATCTCAGGTGAAGAAATCTCTGTGACACTTATTTCTGGCAAGAGCTGTGCTATATTGATTTAATCTTATACTATTTACCTTCTTATTTATTTTACTTGTAGACAGTACCAAAATTTTAGAAGGAAAATAAACTTAATGACCAATTAGTACCATCTACATATTATAAAGATAAAAGAACCCAAGGTCACATAGTGGATCCAGAGGCTCCGAGACTAGTACTTATTAAATCAGTTGTTAATTAGAATGCACTGAAAATTCCATCCTCCTAAATAAGCAACTTTGAAGATCCAAAGAAACATGGGGAATATTTAAGAGTATTAGGAGGAAAAAAACCCCCGAAAATGATTAATAAAGATTCTAAGAAATAGATTGGTGAATAAAAGTAAAAACATGTGGCTATTTGTTTTCAAAAAGAGAAAGACTTGATAGCTTTTATATGTGTGTGAAATATTATAGGTGGTGATATGGATTTGTTTTCTAAGTATGAAACCAGAAAGAAATAGGCACAATTTGCAAAAAAAAAAAACAGAAATAAAAACAAAAAAAATAAAAAACAATCCCCACCCCAAAGAAAGTCTTGAGTACCTATCTATTAAAGACTGTCCAAAAAAAACCCAAAAAACAAAAACAAACAAAATAACAAAATTACACAGAGGACAGGGTCTGTCTGTCAGAAATAACTTGTTATCAGTCTGATGTGAAAGCCAGGAAGGGTAGCTGATGTCACAAAGTAGGTCCACCAACTACTAAGCAAAAAATTCACTTTTCCTATTTTACACTTTCTTTCAAAACTCATATGGTACATTACAATGCTATACTTAGAATGCTATACTCTATTCAAAAGAATGAAAAATATCTACAGCAACGTATATGTTAGGATGTCCACATATAATAAAATAACAAAATGTAACTCTGCAATATGTATAATGTGATCATTTTGGTAAAAAATTATGTGTGCGTGACAGTTATGTGTGCATGACATTAAGAGTGTGTATGTATCTATTCCCATTTATGTATATGAACATGTTTACCACATGCATAATAAGTACTGGAACACAGAAAACAGTTTATCAAAATATGTAGCAAACTATCATTGGTCATCACACCTCTGGGCAATAAGATTTTGATTAAAGGTCTTTCAGATTTTAAAATCTTTAAAAATTTTTGAAATTGAAGCACCTTTTGAGGTTAAAAAGCCCAATAAACATATTACTTTTATGAAACATTCATATGGGGAAAACTTCTAAAGTACAAGTAGAATTCTGAACTACATCCAGATCTGTTGCCTCCCATGTAATTCATTTCACAATGGCACCTGTACCTTACAGTGAGAGAAGGTCACGCTATATTGGGCATCCTTGAATTGTGGGGAAGGCACCTCTGGATCCACTACTGGGGCAGCCACTGTTGACTCACAATGGTCCCAGAATGTGTACTGACAGAAGACGAAATTCGACAGGTTTAAGGGCAGCCCAGTTGCTTCTTTAATTTTTACCTGAAGAGACAGATTTTTAAAAAAAGCAAATATAATTCCCATAAAGGAAACATTAAATTATGTATTCTTTTCTTATTTCAACTACCTCAAATTTAAGAGTAAGTGACAAAATAAACAAATGAGTCATCCATTTGACATCTGAACACATTTGGCACCATTTCATTAAGGGTTCTATTCTGTAATAAAATCTTTACCACAGTTCTATAACTGCAGTATATAAACTTAACAACGAATACACACACTTGTCTAAAACTTTTCTAATGACTGAGTTCCTGATAGATGCAGTATAATTCACTGAGCAATATATACTCCTTGCATGCCAAATATACATAGACTTTTGAAATATCAGGCAACAGTCATCAGAAAGTGTGCTATGCTAGAAAAAGTACTGTCCACCACTGTATTCCCTGTCAGAAAGTTTAACTTTTACTATGCTCTATGAAGAACTCGTAAGATTTTCTATAAAATGGTTTTGAATTAAACAGGTAATTTCTCTGAGCCTCCCTATCATGTCCTCTCACCCGGCATGTCAATTTTTTCACTCGGTGAATGATTTCCCCACTGCTGTCTACGACTTCAAGACTCCCACTTTCACTGGAGTTCTCCGAGGAGTCATCCTCCACGACGCGCTCCGGGACAGCTCCTGTAACACGCATCACTTCCACATGAAGACGCCCCGCGACCTGGGTCAAGGAAGCAGAGCGTCTTAGAGTTAAAAGACATCTCACGGGCAGCACGGACCTGAGACAAAAAAGCACTCTACAATATCCCTGGTGAGCAGCTCTACTTACTGCTGCCAGTCTCCGGCAATGGGAAGCTCAACACTCCCAGAGCCAGTCCATTCCACCACTTGTCCTTCAATCATCCTCCCTGACTTTAAACCAAATTTACCTCCCCACAACTTGCCTTCTGAAGTCATCTTCATTTTTATCTTTCTTCTATAGGATAACCCATGAATAACTTGAAGGCAGCTATCATATTCTACCTGGAGTCACCTATTTTCCATGTACATGTATATTTATTCACTTACTCATTTGAGCAAATAAATACCTGGCCTCATGAGAATACCAAGATAGAGACACAGGCTCTGCTGTCAAGGCACTCACAGTCAAGTGGGGAAAGGCAGGGAAGTAAAAAACTGATAACAAGAGTACAGACTAGCTGCTATAACAGAGATATGTACTGGTTGTTATGGAAAAAATTTATCCACTCAACAATATTTACCAAGAACTAACTCTCTGCCAGGAACTACACTAAGCACTATGTTGACAACAGTAAACCAAACAGACATGGTCACTGGGCTCATGGAGCTTCTATTCTCTCTAGGAGTAGAGAATGAGCACTTAATTCATATTAGGGCTAAGAGCAGGGTGAAGAAGGGCTTCACGAGGTGGTAAGACCTGCTCCAAGAGAAACAACATATACAAAGCCAGGATAGTATAAAGAAATAGTTCCTTTAAAATTGTTTAAAAAAAAAAAAAAAGCTGAGTTTCCTCACTATCCTGGGGTTCTCTGAATAGGTGCTGGTTTAGCAGTGTCTCTCTTAAAGATATTGCACAGAGCCAAATTAAAGGATAGGGGCTGTCTTAAAATTTGCATTCTCAGAGTGTTATAATTGGCCAAGTTATCTTTCATAACATAATTTAAGGCTGTAATGACTGAAGCTGTGAAGGTAACACATTCTGGCAGTTCCACTCTCATCTTAAATAGCGAGGCTCATTTTTAAAGGTAGCTCAGACCCAACTTCCACATGGCAATTTGCACTGGCACCAGGGACTTGAGAGATATTAGTTGATGGTATCTGACAAGTAAGACAAATATTAAGTAGTAAGGTGGGGGGATAAGAGAAATCAGAAGACAGTGGTTCTTAAGGTTCTTTTTTTTCAGTGCTTTTTGAGAATCAAATACATTTTAAATATAATTTCAGTGGGATTAATGGAAGTCTCAAAGCCCATCATGGACCCCAGCTTAAGAACTCAAACTAGGGACTCATCCACTGGATCCCTTTGCCACAGAAGCTGTGCCCATTTTTTAACATAGGAAAAAGCAACCCTTAGCCCACTGGTCTTCTGGAGCAGAATGTTCACAGGCAGCTATCACATGTAGAAGGGAGAATGTGTATTTACGCACCATAACTGGGAACCTATGGCTCATTTTCTAGGTGCGAATCACAAAAAATAATAGTATTTCAAGTTTGCATGTTATCGAAGGACAAGCTAGGAAATAAGGTTGCTACTAAATTTAAAATTAAAAGTTGATGAAATGGATAAAAGTTTGAACTTGATCATTTTCTGAATTTCTTAGGCCTACATAAGGCCAGTATATCTAAATAACTGAAATACGAAAGTTTAAAAGGGGAAACAATGGAATGGTGCAGCTTGTTTCATTTGGATACCGTGGGTTTCAAAATAATCCTCTCGAGGCATCTCTTTTAAAGACCATTTAGAGGACAGGAGGGAGCCAGAGTGTATCACAAAGGTAAAACATTAAAAGGGAAATGAATATGGGCACAGAGCTCAATCTAGTTTCCAAAAGATTTCTAATTTAATTAAAATAAAGAAATTTGTGAATCACAAATATAAAATATGTTATAATCTTTTAAAACCATGACTTAACTTTGATAGTGAGTATTGGTATTAGTAGAGAAAAAAGGATGTGGATCCTATTTTTCCTAGTTTCTTGATCAACACTGAGAACATAACTTAAATTGAAAAAACAAACGAAAAAAAAAACGTAAAAACTTGAACCACCATTTTCTCCGAGGCTGGCTTGTCCTTACCTCCCCCTGCTGGCTGATGATAGGGACCGCATACTGAAGCTTCACATCGCAGAAGAGACACTCCAAGAACACGTTAGCCACACCTATGAGGTTGTGATTCTCTTGGGCTTCATAGAAGGGGTCACCTCGTTTCCCACAGAGTCTCTTTGCCTGAACGGTAAGAGAGGCAGATGGGCAGGAGAGGAAGAATCGAAACATCAAATGAAATAATGTGATTTAAAAAAATTTTAAAGCATTAATTCAAACAAGTTAAAAAGAAGTAAAATTAGGATGTTACATAAATAAAACAAAATTAGCACATGGGAGGGGCTCGTTAGCAGGGAAATTAAGTGATATTCATGTGGAGGATCCTTCATTAGTTACTGCCTCATCTTCCCTACCACACTTCACCTGCAGCCTGTTTCATTTTATTCCCTGTACTTTGCCTTATTTCCTTTGCTGAGTCTTCTTTTCCATTACTAATGTCCAAAAAATGAATTATGCTCTCTGGAATTATTCTTAGTAATCTACCCAAACATGATCATATCTAAGGGAGCATGAACACGCACACAATGAATACAAAAATCCATGCTGGATTCTATCCAGCTGATTTTTCACAACACTGACACAACAGCACAAATTTACTTTGTCCCACTTCATTTCATTTAAGTATAGTAATAATGTAGACAAATAAGAATACACTATGTGTTCTTTTCATTTAGTCCTATCTGTGGGGATTACATATTACCGATCCAATTTAGCACTCCTCTCGACATCACTTTTACTGTCCTCTTCTAATATAAATTTCGAGAGCACCACTACAAATATTCACTGGTGGGTGGGTGGGTGGGGGTTGTGTGGGGGGGTGTGTGGGTGGGTGGTTGTGTGTGTGTGTGTGTGTGTGTGTGTGTTGATAGAAATGCTGAATGTAAAGAATGTACTGTGGCAATAACTTAAGACATAGACTATGTGCTCTGCTTTCTTCCTCTTGAAGCGCCCTGCACAGTGATTCCCAAGACCTTACCTTCTTCCTCAACTTCTCAAGAGGCTTCCCAGCAAAATTAATGGATACCTCATTAGAACTGATGGCATCATCACTCACTGGAGTTG